ACTGCATGCTGTGAATATATGTATCTTATTGGTTGTTGAATAAAGCTGTTTCGGTCAATGGACAGGCAGGATGTAGCCAGGCAGGAAATATGGGTGGGGCTACCAGACTAGGGGAAGGCTGAGAAGAGAAATGCAGAGAGTGAGTTGCAAGGGAGGCGTCATGTAGCTACCTGGAGGATAGGACTCCTGGGTATTCCCCAGTAAGCCACAGCCTCACGGCAATTGGTAGTTTAATGGGAATGGGTTAATAATTGAGAGAGAGCTGGCCAATAAGAAGCCTGAGCCATTGGGCAAACAGTTTATAGTTAATATAAGCCTTGGTGTGTTTATTTGGGACTGTATGGCTGCGAGACCGTCAGGCAGAACAGAAAATTCCATGTTCAATACACATGGAAAATTATATACCATATCATCAAGGAAAAAAACAAACAATCACAGAACAGAAAGTTCCCCTTTTCCTAGAAAATGCAAACTCTATTGAAATATTTTTATTCTTGCTCATATTCACGCTCATACATGGACATATCTCAACAGAATTAAGTGATAATTGCCCAGCATAATAATCCACTTCCATGGAAGGCAGTATATACGGACTGTCAAGGAACAGCAGAAAACTTGCTTGACAGAGCACTTGAATGGTGTGCACAAAGGTCTGGATTCAATGCCCAGTACCACCAAAAATCTTGCTTGGTGACAAATGCTTTGTTTTAATTGCTCTATTTATTGATTGTGTATATGTAAGGTCTGTAAGATGGGTCAGAGGGTAAAAGCACTTGCCATGAAAATCTGATGACCCAAGTTCAATCCTTGGATCCCACATAAAAGCTGAAGGAGAGAACTGACATCACAAAATTGTTCTCTGGCTACCATATGCAAGCCACAGTGCACACACGCCCACATCCACATCCATCATATATACATACAATGATGAATAAAAGGTCTTTAAAATAGCTCAGTATGGGGCTGGAGAGACGGCTCAGAGGTTAAGAGCACTGGCTGCTCTTCCGGAGGTCCTGAGTTCAATTCCAAGCAACCACATGTTGGCTCACAACCATCTGTAATGAGATCTGGTGCCCTCTTCTGGCCCGCAGGCATACATGCAGGCAAGACACGGTACATAATAAATAAATAAATCTTTAAAAAATTTGCTCAATGTATATATAATCTTACATGCATGAAATTTTTGTGTGTGTATGTAAAACAATTTTTCGACTATATGTTCTCGAACTGCAGTCCAATTCATGTGCCCCTAGCATGCTGAAGTCAGGGGCAGCGGGAGACTCTTACCAGATGGCAGTGAATTATAGACTAGGAAGGGTAGGAGGTGGGGCAGAGAACTTAGCAAACCTAACAAATTACTGTTACTTAAACTTCAATGTAGCTTTGGAGCAGCGATGGAGCAGATATCGGGCATGCCATGAACATTTCCAAGAGTAAGTCCTGGCATGCCATCTCAGATGACCTACAGCCAGAAGCCTAGGCAGAAGAAATGAGTTGCCTTTCTGGAAGGAGCCACTTTTCGTAGGGGCCAACTGTGTTGAAGTATCCTGAGTGAAAATCTGCATGGGAGCTGACGAGCTGGAACACAAATGGTTGAGGAACTCCAGCTTTGACTAAGAAGTTTGGTGAGTGACATGTTGTCCGTAAAAAATGGAGTGGCCACCAAGCTCTTTCTGTACAGGGGTTTTAAGAATTGGCAGCTATGTATGTGCAAAGGCATGGCACAAACCAGGCACTCGTTGGTTATGGCCACATCTCTGCCTAGGAAGGGCACAGGGATCCTAGGAAATCCCAAATGACTGCTGGGTACAAAAGCTGATTGAACGAAGACAACTGTGAACGAGGAGTGGATTCCAATTGCACATAGTAGCACACACCTGTAACCCCAGCACTTGAAGGCAGGAGGATCAGGAGTTCGAGATCACACCTTTCTAAATAGCAAGCTAAGCTAAGGCTAGCCTTGAACTATGGTGTCCTTGTGTCAAAACAAAGCATGGCTGAGGCGATGGGTCTTGAGTTGGGCTCTCCATACATGCACATGTGTGAGTGGGTGTGGCCAGTGTGTAACAGTCGATGGTTGGGGCTAGACTGGCCAGACAGGCTGCTCTGAGGTCAGTGAGAGACCCTGCCTCAATAAATAAGGAGAGGTCCAAGCCTGCCATGGACCTCGGACCTCTACACTCATGCATATACACGTGAACATGCAAAAAGTAAAATGACGAACATACACAAAACAGGAGGTTTTCTGAGAGGCGTTGTTCCTGGTGAACTTCCTGGTGTTTCAGGAAGCTTTGTCCTGGCAGCACACTCTCACTTCCTCAGAGGCCAGGCAACAGCAGGAGAGCCCGGTAGGGCTGGGGGCGGGGCTGGGCGCAGCTGGGCGGGGCTGCAGACCACACAGGTGCGTCCCCTACAGCAGGGTCCTGCCCACTGTATCCTAGGGGCCAGGCCACCCTTCCAGTGACTGACAGTTCTTGGGGGCTGTTTTAACTACTGTGACCAGTATCTTTCCCTGAGGTGTGACCACGTCCAGAGCAGAGGGAAAATTTTGAGGAAAAAGAAAGAGGACAGAGACCCACAGTCTCTGAAGCCCAAAGAACTTTCCATTCATGAGGATCACGGGGAAGACCCAGAAAAGACTTGGATGGTAACCACCACAATGCTACATTTCAAATTCTGAAGATGACATGAAGGAATGGGGGGAATGGGCTGGAGAGCTCCCTGAGGCAGCAAAGAAAGGCAAGGGAAATCTTGGGGATTCGAATAGGATAGAAGCTTGTTGCAGCAGAGAAGCTAGAATTTCAGCACAATGCACAACCACTCGGGCCCTTCTCCCTTTCTGGTCATGAGCCCCGTCACCAGGAATCTCAGCGAACCCCATGTAAAGGGAAGAAACATATCCTGTGCAAGCCTGGTGACTGGTGGTTTCACCATATCAGACTCTAATTCCATCCGAAGCATTTCTGGAGACACCTCTTGTCTGGCTCTTACCCAGAGTGGAAAGGTTTCTTAGCAACCTTCTGAGATGTAACTTGTGAGTCTCCAAAAGGGTATAGGTGGCTAGTGCTAAAACAATAGCCTATTCTCAGAGAAGTCCATACACAAGCATGGGTCCCCCTTTTCCCTTCTTTCTTGGGAGCAGGCACGCGCGCGCGCGCACACAGACACACACACACACACACACACACACACACACACACACACACACACACCACTTGGGTGTGCCTTTCTTTCTTCTGAACAAATGTTTGGTTTTCTTAACCCTATATTAAAATAGCTTTAACAAAATTACTAACCCTGCTTGTCTAAACTGGCTAGTACTCACTCTTCATAGTGTCAAAATTGTGAATCCCTGTTGGCCTGAGTCAAGGTCCCCAAGTCTATAGGAATGCCTCAGGCTGGAGAAGGCCACTGTCGTATCCCCTGGCCGTTGACACACCTGCGACCTTGAGGAAAGAGGCTTTTCTAGCAGTGCCAGAGTCTGACAGACTAGGTGGGAGGAGGAAGACACATGGGAAGACTGACAGCACAGCCCTGTGGAAAGGACATCAAGGGAACAGAAAAGGTCTCACCTGCAGGAGCCCTGGAAGGCTATCATAACCTATGACCACCAGCTCTCCCTTCCCCCACTCATCATTCAGGAAAGCCTGGCCATGTCCAGGGTTACTTCAGTATGAAGTAGTGAGAATCTGGCACACCAGATGGTCCTGAGTGTCTTAGGGCACACTGGAAAGGAACCACTTAGAGACAGAGTTAGAGCTTTGTTACCTAACAAATATCTTGTATAGCTTCCTCACATCTGCCATGTCTGACAGGGACCCACTCAAACCCGTTGGGACCCAGCTGTGAGCCTGCCCAGGAGCAGTTGTGGCAAAGTGAGAGAACCACAGTTTACATTCAAATACCAGGTTTTCCAGTTGCTCCCTCGTGTGGAAATGAACGACAGTTTCCTCTGTGGACTGCAGATACTGAAATCAAGGCAGGGCAAGGGCATCTGGCCTGTTTAGCTACTGTGAGGATGGTGACCCTGCTCCTACTAGCATCCCCTTCGATGCCTTGAGTGACAAGGAAAAGAAAATCAACCTTTCAAAATACAGAATCTGGACCCAGAAGCATATTCTGACTCCATTTACATAAAATGCCCAGAATGAAAAGTCCCAGCAACAGACAGGTCAGCAAAGGTCAGCAAAGCCCCACCCGTGGGACTTGGGGTTGGAAGTGGAAACGGGTATCGGTGCAACGCTGCCCTGTGTGAAGAGAGTGACCTGAGACAACAGCCACGCGGCTCCAGGCCACGCCAAGCAGCTCTATGCCACGCCACAAGGAACTGCAGAAAAGGGCCGGACTTACGGCATGACAATTCTAGTTCAGCAAAGCTGTGATAGGCTAAAAAAGAGTTAAACCAAATTATTTTTCAGACTGCCTGACACAGAGTACTAAGGCACTACACAACATGTTTCTCAAATGCTTCAGTGTAGAGGCCACTGAACTGCAAGTCTGATGCACGCAAGAGCTAACATGGGTTTGCTCATGACCTACAACTGCGCCCTGTAATCTAAGAGACATTCAGTAGCAGGTGTTGAATATCTAACTGCTCTAAGGACAGCAGGAGTGCCATAAACACACACACACACACACACACACACACACAAAATAAAGATGAGGAAACACCATACAGTAGGTGCTCAACAGATTTTACCGACTTCAGGAATGAGTGGGTGGAGATGAAATGATGGTAATGACTTAAAACCATGTATCACATCAAAAAGGCAAAGACAGTAATACTATTTATAAATTTTTTTATTTAAAAAATAAAATTATAAACAAAATACAGAAAAATATTGACACCTGTGTAACAATAAGATGATTTTTCATCTTTAGAATAATTTGTTGTTCTGAGAGAATAAAATCCTAAATTTTATAAGGTAATTTTATTGGGCTAACAAGGAATTTGATATTTCATTAGCAGTGGGTACTTGGCATAGGTAAGACTTAATACATACATTCAACACTTTATAGCATATTCAAGTCTCATTTCCAAGTTCTATACCAAAGAGTGTACCTCACCAAAGTCCCTAAGATTAGTAAGAGTGCAACATAGTATTATTAGAAAACAATCCTGCTCTTCCTAGGTCGACGGTATTTTCACTACTTGAATACAATTCACAATGGTCTCTCCCCAGTTGAAGCCAAGCCTCTTCTAGACAATTAAATACAAAACAACCGCCAGTCATGAGGTACCCCTCCCTCCTTGATGTGACAGCCAGTCATGAGGAGTCTTCTCCCCCTTCCCTGATGTGACAGCCAGTGTGAGGCGTCTTCCCCTCTTTGATGTGAAAGCCTCCCCAGAAAGCTCCTTAGAGCAGTCGGGCAACACTGCAGATACACACTGTAGAATCTTCCTTTCAAAAGATGGCTGAAGCACATTACCTGTCCAGCTAACAAATTCCTCATCTCAAGCAAAAGATACTGAGAACCCCACATATCAAGTTTCTGAAAATACACAGTAGTTTCCTCCATTTTTTCAAAACAACCATAGACTCATTAGCAATCTGGATTCCCTCTTAGCTTTCTAAGTTACAGAGCTACTTATATTAGCCGCTTGACAATCTTCCCATTTCATCTTTAATTATAATTTTATTAAAATCAACATAAATTACAAATAACTCCCATAACTGAAGGTGCTAGATTCCATGGGACCTGTCTATGTAAACAGGGCAAATGAATGTCTAGAAACTCTTAAGTCTCTAAGAGGTCCATACAAACCAAACCAACTCGTACCCATTCCTCCTTACTTATCTATCCCAGGCTGAGGTTTCTGGTTTGTGAAGATGATGAAAACAACGGAGACAGATCAATTTCATTCAGCTGAGCTCCTCTGTCTTCAGGTTGTAACTTCTCCAGTACAAGATGGCTGGCAGTTGACAGTAGGCTGCTGAGTTGACATGACTTCTAAGTCAGATTCACGCACAAAGACCACTGCGTCACCACTGACATTTATGAGACACTGCGCCTGTAAAAACAGCAGATAGATAAGCAGGTGCCTGCAGCTCAGTGCTCGTTTGCCTGCTGTGCGAGGGCTCTGGTAGAAAACTAAAGCCGCACAGGCCAATCAACCACTGATAAAACAATCCAGCAGAAGGCACAGGTCAATCAACCACTGTAAAACAATCCAGCAGAAGATGAAGAGAGAAAAAGTTCACAAGAAAAGAAATCTAGAAAGCCTGGGCAGGAAGGACAAAATATTCAAGCCTGCTGTAAATCAGGGTCTTTAGACTGACAGGAAGAGACCATGTCACATATACTGAGGAGATGGTAAAAGCTGGACATTACCAGATACTAACAAATGCACAGGCAACACACACAGGAACAACCACTCTGACAAACACTCTGTCAGTCTCTCACAGAGCAGGACAAGTATGCACTCTGCAATCACCTTTATCACCATTCCAGCTTTCCTCTAGAGAAAAATCTTGATGGGACTTTTTACTGTAGCATGTTTATAAGAGGAAAATATTAAAAATAATGTAAATACTCTAAAGAAGAATGTGAAAATATAGACTAGTTATGCCTGAAATACTAAACAGAAGTGAAAATTACATAAAACTTTCAATATAGCTAAGTGTCATTAAATGTGATAAATTAAAGTAATTAGAATGTACAAAATAGTCTTAGTGGAGGCAAATTCTGTCACTGTCTGAAAACTACAAAAATGAGGGCCTTCCCTATGGTTATACCCACTGTGCTAGCCCCTTATGTCCAGCTTGGTTCTTAGAGCACTGAAGACATCAGAGACGTAGTCAACAGATATTACTACCTCTTACCATCAGCAGGAAAAGCTGAGGATTCTGAGTGACCAGCACTATAGAGTGTTGAGTGGCTGAAGGAACAATGAAGACAATCTTTTGGTCCAGAACTGAGAAAGCCACCAAGAAAAATAAGGTGAAAAAAAGCTACAAGACCATATGCATGACAGCTCTGCTATGTGTGCAGAGCGGTGTGAAATGTGAACTTGCCCCTGTGCACCTAAGACTGTCTCTGGCATGGTGTATCCTCAGGGTCAGAAGCGACATTCAAATACACAAGAAGAAAAGAAAGGCACTGATGACTTTAGCTGTATATAGTAAAGAGACTGTTTAGAACACAGAACAGGAAGAAACCTTTCTATTTATTTATTTTTAATGTCTTTGAGACAGGTTCTCACCATGTAATCCTGGTGTGGTGGCTTGAAAGAAAATGGCCCCCCAGCAAGGAGCACTATTAGGAGGTGTGGCCTTGTTAGATTAGGTGTGATCTTACTGGAGGAAGTGTGTCACTGTGGAGGCAGGCCTTGAGGTCTCATATATGCTCAAGCCATGTCCGGTGAGTACAGACCACTTCCTGTTGCCTACAAGTCAAGATGCAGGACACTCAGCTACTTCTCAGCACCGTGTCGCATCCTGATTGACAACGGACTAAACCTCTGGAAATGCAAACCACCCCAATTAAATGTCTTTCCTTTATAAGAGGCATCATGGCCATGGTGTCTCTTCACAACAAAAGAAACCCTAAGACACCTGGACAGCCTGGAGCTATGGGCACCAGGCTGGCCTCAAAGACAGCTCTGCCTGCTTCTTCTACCTCCTACATTTATTTTTAATGGAATTTTTGAAGTTTGAATCAGGTACAACTCCTCCAAAATATATATTAAAATAACATATAATAAAAAAGGCTACATATATGTACATGAAAATTAAAAAAAGTAACAAAGTCAGGATGGTTCTCTCAGTGGGAAGAACTGTACACAGGACCACAAAGCCTCCCCCAGAGGGTGCGGGGTTGGGGTAGGAGCTGCAGGCACTCTAGCCTGCATGTGTAGAGACCAGAGGCTGTCTGCCTCAATTATCCAGCTAACTACCAAGTCCCTTCAGTGTGTGTGACAAGATTCTCCCACTGCCCCCTGCTTCACCAAACACATCAGAAGGTTGCCTTCTAGTTTCAGAATAGGACTATTCTTTAACTTCTATTAATGTAGTAGAGCAAACTAATGAAAAGTTTTAAGTTACAAGAAGAACAGAAAAGACTGTGAAATGGTTTCCTTTCCTCTCTCTTCTTACATTGCTGATACACTTATGAAGAAGCTCACTGTGAAGATAACTTTATCCAAGAAAAGCCAGGGCACTGAGAATGCAAATGATTTGCCCTTAATTATAATTATCTAAGTATAGAGATGGCAGCAAAGCCATACCCGCATAGACGCACACATGGGCACTTCTCACGCCTGTGACATCTACATTCCGTCTCCCGAGAGCAGTGCCTGCCTGCATTTCTCCTGTTCTAGCCATGTACCATGTGTGTCAGACAAAAACATGACTTCTAGTGTGTGCCAAGTGGAGGAGGATGGGGCATGCTGCCTTCAAGACACTTTGTTACTTACATAGTTATTTCATTTTAGAAGAACCCTTTACAGTGTTAGTTAAATTAGTAAGAGAATGCTGCTCTGAGGTCAGTCTCATAAGCCTCTTATTCTATACCCCACTTACAGTGTAACGTTTGGTAGAAATAAATAAGCAGCCTGTCCCCAATGTACACTCTTCACCATCAAGGCAGGTAAAACTAGACATCCCAGCACACAGGGTGAGGGGTGCCTCAGATCTCCTCAGAGGGGGCACAGCCACACCCATATTCCACAAGATCACCAACAGCAGTAACTTGGCGCAGAAACTGACAACTAGTCAGGTGAGAGGAGGAACAGGGCCGTGAGGAGGGCCACATGACGATAAAGACATCCAAGGATGCTCTAAGTTCTAAAAAGCAACTCCCCTAGAGGGGAATGGGTGTGGGCAGGCCAGAGGGGCATTCTCACAGATGTTCAGTCATCTCACCTGGTTCTTACTCGGATTCTCCATGAAGACACACTGCTTCATGATGTAGGACACGACAGCATTCCCGCCCAGTGCGGCCACGTGAGCTCTTACCATGGCAAACACTTCAGCAATGAAGGCATGGAGGAAACCACTGACCCCTCCTTCCTGCAAACAATGTACAGACCATTGTGTCACACACAGGGTAACAATGTATGAGACCATTGTTATCCCATACAGGGTAACAATGTACGAGACCACTGTGTCACACACAGGGTTAGAACACACATAAAATATCAAAGGCACATAGTACACATTCTAAATTGCCTTAATGTAAATGACAATCATTACATTTTCCTCATCATGAGGGGATTTTTTTGCATTAATAAACACACCTCTGATTAAAGATTTTAAAGTACTTTCATTAAAACTCAGATAAATTGCAATTTGCCCATGACTGGCTAGTTTTATACACATTGTGTGTTTTGTATGTTTTATGAACATGTGATGCGGGGAGCAATCCCTGGGCTTTGTGTTGCCTGGCGAGTGCTCTGCTCTCCTCATCTACACCTATTATCATCCCCGTCACTTTGCAGATCTCTGGTCACTCACAAACTTCTGGCCTCCGCCTGGCTGGGCCTACACCTGTGCACTCCAAGGCAGCTCACACTCCAATGCAGCTCACAGGTGGCTACTGATGCAGCTGCATTCTACCTGCCATGCTAACACACAACTCAGCTGTACACAAATAGCATTCCACACACATTGCCGGGGAATGAGAAGAGCAGCGTGGTGAACCTTCTCTATTACAAATCAAACAAAATAAATTAAAAGGCAGTCAACAGCTCAAATGCTTTCCAACTTAAGTTTCCTGTCCACTGGAGGAGAGATTAAGGACAATCAAGGAAATTTCTGAATTAAATTGGAGTTAAAGAACAGCAGAATTAGGAACTAAATTATTTTCTAAGTATATCTTTTTCAAAAAAAGTTTAGATGCATAGTATATATGTCTATGCCCTATGAATATGCTTGGCATCCAGAGAGGACAGAAAGGGCACTGGGTCCCCAGCAGCAGTAGTAAGCCACCATGGAGGCACTGGAAACTGAGCCTGGATCCTCTAGAAAAACAGCCAGTGCTCTAATCCCTGAGCCATCTCTCCAGCCCTGAGCACATCTTTCTAAAAGCTAAGGAGAGTCCCTGGATTGTAATCCTGTGAAGAGATCTCTTTTTGAAATTCCAAAACTAAATCAGCTATTTCAGGCTCCACTCAGGCATGCAGCTCTGAACGCTCTTTACCAGTTGCCTGTGCTGTGCTTGTGAAGTCAGGAGGCTGAGGAGCAGGGCACGTGCAGGTCACTTCTAAGAGGTGCAACTGTAAGAAGGATCTCACCAGGTACATGAGGAATGTCGTCCCTCAGGTTAATGGGGCAGGTCTCTCTCTGCTGCAGTGAGACTGACTAAGGAAATGAAAATATGTGGACTCCAGTGTGGCCAGCAGCTTGTGTATGAGCTGCTATCTAGGAGGCTGAGACAACAGGATCATGTATGCCAAGGGTTCAAGACCAGCCTGGGCAATAAAACTTAAAGTTTCAAAACAGTATAACCACATACTACTAGGAGCAACTAGAAAAGAAAATAACAGGAAAAAACCACGCCAATTTTAAAACAAATCTATTTTGTCAAACTTAAGTGGACTTACATTCTCCATTAAGAGTTTCTAAGACTACATGGCTTGCTTATTCTCCACATAAACATTACCACATAATTAATTACCCTGTCAGACATTATTCATTCATTTACAGAAAGACATATTGAATTTGCTCTGTGCCAGGCAGGCATGGAGACAGCTGTTCCAAGAGCACAAGCACCCAGCACTTCCCGTGACACAAAGAAAGCACGGCTGAGTCACCTTACGAGAAAGGCACTTTCCACAAGACAAATGCTGCGATAATCAGACAGAGGTGATGGAGTTTCAGACCTCAATGATTGAAAAGGTTCCCTGTTCATAATACTAATTTGTTCAGCAGCCCTGACTCATAAGGTACAATACAACTTCCTTTTCTGCTAGGTGAAATCCCTGTGTTACAAATGACACAAAAGAGTAGCCCTGATTTTGTAATGCGATCATATCCCATAACATTTTATAACCACTACATAACAGTTCCTGTGTGCCCTGAGAATGGGGAGAAACGGTGTTCCTGTACACGGTCAAGACTGAGAACCCACAGGCTCATTCCTTTTTCAGAGGGAAGAAAGCGCAAAGGTAGAGTATCTCCGCACATACATCTACTATAAAATCCACAAGTTCTAAATGTGGTTCCTTAAAGCCTATTTAAACATATCAGAAAAATACCTATAGAAAACTTATGTCCTGTCAGGGCAGTTTTAAATCTTGGATCAAATATAATTATGAGAAAGTTATTTGTTTTATAATAAGGATCTAGAACTTCTGCAAACAAATGGGCTTCAAGCAGCTACAACTCTTATATGAGTTACCGTATGAAATCTAAGTCTTACACAATAATCCATCTGGATAGCTCACAAATAGGTAAAATCTATCTGTATTACTTAGTATCTGTGTTACTTAGAAGAAAACATAACTTAAAACTTGGTTTTATTACTAACTCTTGGAAGAAAAAAAAATTGCAAATTTTGTAAAGTTACCTCCCGGAGAGAAGTGGTTTCTCGAATAAAAAACATGTTAATGATGCCGAGATATTTTGTTATCTTTGCTCCAGGGATGAAAGAAAGCGGAGTCATCTTAACAACCCCGACTGTGGAACTTGCACAAGGTGGAGCAGAGCGATTCCGGAAATTTCCATCACCCATGGGACTTGCTTTCTCAACCGTCACAGCTAAAATTGGAGAAATACCAGAAATATTAAGAACCAACACTGGAAACTGAATAGTCCCCTAAGGTTTCCAAACAAGTGGTAACAACATTCAGCTGTCTGTGAGACTAAGCCATGTCATGAAAGAAAAGAAATTATCATGCACCACATGCAATTTAGAAAGAGAAAGAGAGAGGAACATGAGGAGGTGCTGGAATGGAATTCTTTGGGAAGGAAAATGGCATTCCTGCAAAGGAAAATGTTGATGCAGTGTAGCTAGACACACAATGATCGGTTACACAGTGGAGAAAGAAAAGCGCCAGAGGTAAGGGAGCTGCTGTAGAAACAAATTATCCAGGGAGAGTGTGAAATTGTCACATTCCCAGGGCACTGCCCGCCTGCTTCAGACTACTCCATCACTGCTGGCTTGCAGGCAGCCTAGGTAACACTTCTTAATTTCTTTCCCAACCTTTTTTGATTAAATAGCTGTGTAACTTTAAACCCTAACAAGCAATCTTGGCTGTCTAAAAGATGTTTTGGAAAGTAACAGGTAAAATAGTTACCACTACTTCGTGAGTGCAATAAGCCACGCCCCCCAGAGTAGTCACCACCACCTACTAACAACCGCAATAAACACACATCCCTGTGCTTTTCTAACCTCACAACCTCACAGGGTCACCATCATGCCCATTTCCACAGGAGGAAACCAAGATTGTTAACTGAGCACCTCTAGGGTTTAAAATACGATCACGCTCATCTATTTCTTCTACTGCCCCTTTGAAATGTAGTTCTTTCCCTTTTAATGTAAATTCACTCAAGTATTGTTTCCTCAAAATCTGCCAAAACCCAGGATGTAAAACTGTCTCTCAAGTGTAGCAGTAAGACAAGCTGTCTTCGTTGTCCCTGTCACTCAGTCCGCAGCTCACGTGGTCCTGAGGGAAAGCTGGCCACGCCCTCCTAGACATCGATGGAATGTGTGTGCATCTATACACTTGCAGATTAAAAGACAGTTCTACAGCTAAAAGTAACCGCTGAGAGGCTCTGTAGTAACTTCTCACAAACGACCACAGCGTCTGCAGCTTTCACACTCAAATACATGACTGATTGCCAATGCTGTTACTAGGCAGTAAGGTCTAGCCTTCACCACTGGGAAACCAGGGATATGCTTCTCAGGTCATCAGAACGTGGTAGAAACATCCGCCTACTTGTCTTAATTGATCCGCGCCTTATGGTCTGAGCTTTCAGTTTAATGAGCTCTATCCAGCTGCTGCATCTGTCTGCAAAGGAACTGTAATCAACTTGCGTTGCTGAAAACACAGACAGAAAACAAAAGAAAACACAAAGAAAAATATGGATGATGTGTCTTACTCTCCATAATCCTCCTCGATGATGTAACTCAACTCCATGTGGCTTAGGGAAAGAGTGACCTTTCCAGGCCCGACAGGAGGGGGGGAGGCGGGGGGGGGGGGGGGGGG